ACTTCCCTGTCCTGATCAGCAACGTGCAAGCCACTCTCGTGAGTGTAGCGAGGAGCCTGGGCGGGTGTATGTGACGCTTGGCCACTACGACACGAGGGTGTCGGACGTGATGAACTACGAGGCTGAGCAGCCCGGGGCAAACGACGACGCAAGCGGTGTTGCAGGTATGTAGTCGTCTCTGTTAATTCGGTTGAGCGTAGCTGACTGGGTTGCTTTTAGTTGCTCTGGAGCTGGCCCGGGTTCTGGCGAAGAGAAAGCCCGCCGCTACCATTGTGTTTGCTGCCGTGGCGGGCGAGGAACAGGGGCTCCTGGGCGCCCAGTTCATGGCACAAACTTTCAAAAATGCAAGTGTCAATGTTGAAGGCATGCTCAACGTCGACCTCGTCGGCAGCTCGGTCGGGTCTCGCGGCGAGAAGGAGCCCAACACAGTTCGCCTGTTCTGCCAGGGTCCTCCCTTGACCGAGACTCCCGCGCAAGCATCCCAGCGCCTGAGCATTGGCGGCGAGAACGACTCTCCGGCACGCCAGCTGGGGCGTTTCATCACCGAGGTAGCAGCCAACAAGTTCACCGACATGAGGGTCGCCATGATCTACCGACTTGATCGATTCCTGCGCGGAGGCGACCACCGACCGTTCCTCGAGGCAGGCTACGCGGCTGTGCGTTTCACCGAGCCCAACGAGAACTTCGACCATCAGCACCAGGATACGCGGGTGGAAGACGGCGTGCAGTACGGCGACTTGCCCGAGTTTCTCGACTATGAGTATATTGCGCGCGTGGCCAAGGTTGACCTGGCGGCCATGTGGTCTCTGGCAAACGCACCTGCCAAGGTGAACAATGTCAGGGTGAATGGGACGTGGCTCTCCAACGACAGCCAGCTATTCTGGGATCCGGTCAATTCGACAAACCTCGCGGGCTACGAGGTCGTGTGGCGACCAACAGATGCGCCGCTGTGGACGCATGCCCTTTTTGTTGGCGACGTGCGCACGGCGACTGTCGAGTTGTCAAAGGACAATGTCATCTTCGGAGTGCGGTCGGTGGGCAAGAATGGGTACAAGAGTCCTGTGACGATTCCCTTCCCGACGTGATGTCCGTTACCAAGGGATGGATGGAAGCCTGTGCATCATGGGACGGCAAACGCAGTTAGCACAGGTGGAGTCAACAAACAATCAGATATTTGGACACATAGGGCAGGACGTCGTCGCTAGATGGGTGATGACGGCAGACCCCCATGCCGATGCTATTTGTGTGATACGAGAGAGGGGGACGCGATGCTGCATAGTCGAGATGAAAAGCGGCGCTGGTGTAGCCGAGACTGATGACCTGCAGCAGACCCACGCACGCCGCCAGCCGAGACCAGACAAGCGCCCACGCAACGCAAAAAAGTCGACGCAGATGCAAGACATCAAGCATGCATCGTTTGTCGTTGGGCTCTTGGGATTCATGTTGTAGGAGGCGTCGTGTTTGGCAGTCGTAGTTGGCAGACAGCAAGATGTCTGGAGAAGCTTGGGAGCATCTTGAAGGACCAGTCGCTGGCCCGTGAGGCAGTTGGTGATGGAATGTGCATGGGCATGTCGTCTCAACAGAGTCCACGTGTGACGGGATGTTCCCTGGTCTGAGATGGTTCCATGGGTTGATGGATGTCGACAATCGGATTGTCTAGGTAGGCAATCCAGGATTATCTTGGTCAGACGGTCAGACAGGACCAAGGTTGGGAGGAGCTTTGGCAGGCGCTCACAGGAGCGGAAAGGCAGTGGGCAGAGCAGGTGTGGATGAAACGGAGCCCGGCCATGACGTTTGATTGGCGAGGGAGCAGCGCGGGGTAGCTCCCACTGAAACAGACGCCCCGGGCAGCAGTTCCAGCGTGTGATTCTAGTGGCTCATCCACTGGGAATCCTGGCATTAGTGCTGGCCCGCCCGCCGATCGACTGGCTCTCGCCGTTGCCCTGGCGACGCTGGCGACGCTGCCTCCGGGACGCGAAGGTCCCCCAGCACTAGCCAAAACATGTCGAACCCCAGCAATCAACGTGCTCCTCCTCCATCTGGCGATCTCACATTCCAGTCACCTTCGCTTCCACACTTTCCCTTACCATCGACCACGACACATCCACCGCGACGCGGCCGCGCTCTCAGACATTACCCTCGAAGCCTCCAAATCGTTTCCTTTCCGACCTGGGCCTTGCTGTCGCAGGACATGCACACCACGCAACTGACGTCCCGGTGACCATCATCAGATTGCTGCATGGGAGTGCACCGCTCGACCAGCGCATCTCGGGGGCATCCCGTGAACAGCAGACGCCACGACTCTACCGTGCTGCGATAGACCTTGTCGACACCTTCCAAACCACGACTCCGCCACCTCGCCGAACAACAGCGGCGTCATGGACACCAGCTACCTCGCCCAGCAGGTGGGCACCATTATCGGCCAACTCCACGGCCTCTTTGACGAGATTGGTGTCCCCAATCACGACCGTGAAACACGTGAATCAGAGGTAGATACAAGAACCGAGTCCTTCTACCAGCGTCTTGGCTAATGATGCATGAAGCTCTTCGAGGCTCTGTCGAAAGCCCTCCATGACCAAGTCCGGCTGGTCACTGCTGAGAAGGAGGATATGATGGATGAGGCCCAGCGGATGATCACGACCATCCGCCAGATGGAAGCTTCCCTCGACGACACTCGACGTCGCGATCACGACGACGAAGACTTGCAAATTACCTACCCGCTGACTCGCTGCCTGCAGCACCTCAAGGAGAGACACGTTCAGATCGGCAGGCTGCACAAGGAGCGGTTCGAGCAAGTCAAGAGTGCGTGATCCTCGATACTGCGTTGTCCTCGACACACCACCATCCGCGAGCTTTGCTAACCGAGCACAGAACTTGTTCAGGCCCTCGAATCCTACTCTTCCCACCTCGAACCTACCTTTGTCAAGATCGCTCTGCCGCCCACGGCGCCGAACCAATCGGTTCCTCCGTCCTTTGATCTCTCTCCGACGTACGTCGACAAGCTCGACAATGAATTCACCCGCGTCTACGAGGAATACACGCGTCGGGTAGCCAACGTCAAGTCCCTCTGCGAGCACATGATCCAATTATGGGCCGAGCTCGGCACGCCCCAGGCGCAGACCGACGGCGCCATTGTCAAGTACTACCGCGACTCGCCCGAGCAGCTGGGTCTGCACGAAGAGGACGTCAACCGGCTGCGCCAGAAGCGCGACAAGCTTGCCGACGAGAAGAAGAACCGCGAGAAGCACCTCGTCAGCCTGAGAGCAGCGGTCGAGGCGCTCTGGGAGAAGCTTGGCGTCGACAGCGGCGAGCGCAAGTCGTTCCTCAACGCGAACCGCGGTTGTGGCCTGCGCCAGATCAATGAGTTTGAGGATGAGCTCGCACGGCTGAACGAGCTCAAGCGGCAGAATCTGCATCTGTTTGTCGAGGACGCGCGGTACAAGCTGCAGGAACTGTGGGACGCCCTC